GTGTGTGTGTGTGTGTGTGTGTGTGTGTGTGTGTGTGTGTGTGTGTGTGTGTATAATGTACACATGTATATGTTATATATTTCAAAGTATAGAAACTGAAAAAAATTCTTAATAAAAGTATAACAAAAAATATAATAAAATACGTTGAAAAGAAAAAAATAAAAAGATGGAGGAAGACAGATGGTGATAACTATAATAAAACAATGCAAGTAATACTGGAGTTGCTGCTACAAAAAATATTTCAATTTATCATCAAAATGGTCATTGTTTATCAGTATATCAGAAAAGTGCTTTTATTCTCTTAAATATAATATTTTTATGTAAAGCTGTTCATGTTATAAAATATTTTACAATTCATTTTAGAAACATTGCAGACATTCAATCAAATGGGGAAAGTCAAGAAAAGACCAGAGTTGCTGCACCGCAGTAAGTCGTGTAACATACTGCGTAATTTAATGCTAAGAGATTTTGGATTACACACAACGCATAAGACCAGCACACGCGAATTGGAACCGATAGCTGAGGCCAACTTTGTGTTGAGGGACCACAAGGAATTGGTACGCACTTACATACATATATGATTAACTAATGGATCTTTTTTTTTTGAAACTGAATTATTGGGTTGTTCAGAAAGTTCATGCCGATTAAAATTTAAATTTTAGTATACATTTATTAAATTAAAATTTTCTGCGTTTCAATTTTCCTTCACATCGGCACGAACTTTTTGGACAATATTATACATTTCTTATATTTAAAGTGAAAGATATAGAATATTTGACGAAAGCGAAAGTGAAAGTTTTAGTGTATTCTAATGCAGCAATATATGAAGAATAAACTTCATATAATAATTGTATACTTGTATAACCAAGTCCTGTTTACCTTGTTTATATTTTTAATTTATGAAATATATATAGTATAGTAATAAATCTTGTCTGATAATAAAAAAATGGTCTTTTATAACAATACTTTCGTTCTCCAATTTTATCAATTTCTAATAGCTAAATTAATAATGATATTTATTGTTACATATGTATATTACAGTGAGATATTAAGATATTACATGTTTATTTGCAGAAATGTGAATTACCTGGTGTTCCTAGAGCCACTTTTCTAATGGTTTTCAGTCCTGATGGGTAAGATACAATGAGCAAAATATAATTTGTTTTTTATTGTTATATCAGAAGATAATACTGATAAATTAAAGAAGAAAGTAATACATAATATGTGTGTGATAGCTAGTTTTATTGTATAATGCAATGAAGGAAATTAGAGGAAAAACATCAAATGAATTTCCTGACAATTTCAGGACTATGGTAGCTTCTACGCATGGGAATCACAATGTTTATATCACAGAAATTACGACAGGAAAGAATATTAGAATCTTATCCGGACATCCACGTACTCCCTGGTGCATAGCTTTTCACCCGTCTTCCAGTCAGATCTTAGCATCTGGCTGTCTAGGAGGTCAAGTTCGCGTATGGGATTTAAGTGTGAGTATCGCGTTTGGAATATTATATAATTATATAATTTATAATTTATTTCAGTATTAAATGACAATGCATTTAATGACTTGTAACCCAAATTTGTTCACGTAGGGTGGTAGCGAAATTTGGAATGCCGATAGCCATACCGTTATCGCTTCGCTTGCGTTCCATCCCTTTGAAAGATTGTTAGTTATAGCCACATATAATGAAATTCACTTCTGGGACTGGAGTAAATCTCAACCTTTCGCCGTAACTGCTACAAAGACTGACAAAGAAAAAGTGAGGTATGTTTAAAAAAAAAGATTGCATTATAGATTACGATACAAGAGGAAAAAATATTATGAAAACTATTTTTTTTTTAAACTTTTTTGTAAAAATTGCAGATATGTAGCTTTTGACAGTTTAGGAAGAAAATTAATCACGGGCATCGCGAATACGCCGCAAGTACAATCACAATGGGATCGAGCTCCTGTGGGACAATTACTTAGAACTAGTTTGATGTGAGTAGAAACAATGATAAGTAGAAACAATGATACGCGTAGAAATAAATTTTAGATATATTTATCACTAATATCTGAATATATTTACCACTAATATCTGAATATTTTTCGCAGCTTTAAATTTAAAAAATTGAATTTTTTGAAATATATGGACTGAATAATGAAATATTTATTATAAATTTGTTGGTAATAATTTCCAATTTGTTTAATTATTTTTCCAATCAAATAAAATTGAATATCTCAATTTTTAATTGTATTTCTTTTCGTCTTCATCGTCTTAATTTTGTTATTCATACTTTATATATGTGTTAATATATTTTAAATAATTCTGTTTGTATTGTAACCAACTCCGAAAATATTAGGAATTTTAGGTATCAGCCACGAGAAAATTTCCCGGATATCGAACTTTCACCTTTTCACTTGTGGAATCATGGCTCTTTTTATGGAAGAGGATCGGCGGACGGTAATACTGCAGATAGAACTTCTCGGTATTTATTCCATACAATGCAAAATTCATCAAAATTCGTTGAAAAATTTGCGAAATTTGAATAGAAATTCTTTCAGTGCGTATCTGTTTATGCGCAGAGGCCATGAAATGTCCAGTTTCTCGCGATTCGCCAATCAACAATTTAGAAACAGTACTCGGCAAGAAGCGCGGTTTCAGCGGCGACGAAATTTATCTGAAGGTATAATATCTTCTACCGTAGCATTACATATTCTGTGAGCTAATATAACTTCATTCAATACTTTTAACAATTGAATTTGTCGTAATAGTTTTATATCTTACGATGTAGAACTGAATCAAACTAGAGAAGCTACATCTCCAACCATTACGAGAAATCCACCTCGTCCGACTGGTAATCCAGGAAACATGGACAATGTTGATAATAGATCAGCGGACGACAGTAATGATGATGATTTGCCGAGTTCGCTGAGAAGCCGCGATCGAGAATCTAGTACAATAAATGACTCTCATCCCAGGGATGAGTTGTATGAACGATTAAATAACGTGTGGGTTGGCGTAGACGAAAGATTGCGCGGGAGCAATTCTCAAGATCCAGAGAGGAGAATAAATTTATGCTACAGAGATCTTGTCGATCAATACGTGACGCTCGTAAGACGTTACTTTGACGTTTCCAGAAATAGAGATACAGTAAGCTATATATCTATATTATTCAGAATTTTGTCAGAATTTTTTCTTTTATCAAATGTAAGAATATATTGATTTTCTTTGAAGATTGATCGTGGCACTGACCCTATGGATATGCCGGAAGCATCGTCCTCTAATTTCGAGGAATCTAGTAGTAGAAACGAATCAACAGCGACTGAATTATCTATACGAAGATTAAGGAATGAATTGAATTCCAGCGCGCGAGCGAACAACACGAATCTGGAGAGGTTGCAACGATGTCAACGATTATTGATGGAACGTTCCGAGCAAGAAGAGATCGGGACCACCCTTCAAAATTTGAGAGAAGCTTTAAATGCCGCCGCCGAAAATAATAGCTCATGTTTAGTACGATTGCAGAAATTGCGAGAGAGACTGCAGCGGCAGACCACGACTTTATTTGAGCATTCTAACAATCGTAACTCTCGTCTTCAGCTGCTTCGAAATGCTCTGAATGATGAGATTGAAGCACTTAATAATATGGAGGCACAGTTCACTAATACAAGTTCTAGAATCGAACGGTTGCGAGACGAATTCACGATGTACGGTATTCTGCCACGTAATCGGCATATCGCAACTGATTCTTCGCAGATGAATTTTAGTAATGCCGAATGGAGAACTCTTACATCAAATGATGGACAAATGCCCAGCACTAGTTCTATGCCATCAATGTTGTCTTCAAGATTACGCGATTTAGAATCTAATGTATTTC